TGCTTGCACAATGCCTGCAGTGACTTTTCACCTGTGTGCCCCAATCTATAGTGCCAAAGTCTGCTCATGTCCGCTTCTGAAATAGCCGAAGCAACCTGGCCAATCTCGGTGCTTCCCTTCAGATAATACAAATTCCGATTGCGGACTCCCCTCATCACCACCAATGATCCCTTAGTAACCTTCGCTACAGCGTTTTCGAAAGTCACCTTGAATCCCTTCGCCTCCAAAGCTCCAACTGAGATAAGATTTTTCTTCAGTTGAGGAACAAATCTCACCTCCTTCAACTCACGGACTACTCCATCGTGCATCCTAATCCGCACGGTACCTATCCCACAAACGTCACAGGATTGATCATTTCCCATGACAACAACGCCCCCGTCGACTTTCTCAAAAGATGCAAACCAGTCTCGCCTAGGGGTCACATGAAAAGTAGCGCCGGAATCAAGCATCCAATCTGATGCATCCACATGGTTCACCTCCGGAGTAATCAGTAGAGAAAAGCACGAATCATCGGAATCATCGCCTTTCGCAATATTCACCTCATTGGCCTTCGGGCCCTTTTTCTTGCCATTCTCTTTCTCCTTGAGTTTCGGGCAGTCTCTCTTCCAATGTCCCTGCTCCTTGCAGAATGCACATTGGTTCTTTGTTAATTGGTGGCGGCCTCTAGACTTTGACCTTCCTCTATTACCACCTTTCGGATATGGGCTTCTACCTCTCGTCGACAAGGCCTCTCCTGAAGTACTAGCGCGGGAAGTCTCCTTATCCTTCCTCCTCAAATCGTAATTTGTCAAAGCGTTAGTCACTTCACTATAGCTGATAGAAGATCTCTCGTTCAACAAAGTGAGCACGAAGATATCATACTCCTCATCCGGTAAGGAGCCCAACAAAATAATCGCCTTGTACTCATCCGATATCTTCTCATCAACATTCGCCAAGTCTGACAACAACTTAGTGTAGTTGTTCACATGAGTCGCTAGCGAGGTGCCTCTGGACATCTGAAATCTGAAGAGTCTTCGCAGCAAGTGCAACATGTTCTCAACACTCTTTGTGAGATACTTATTATTGATAATTTCCCACATCTTCATTGCAGACGTCACCCCAATCACATCATACTTCAGCTCCTGTTCCAAACAGGACCTGATCACCCCACAAGCGTTTCTATTCATCTTCTCCCATACCGCCTCTTCATATTTAGGTGGCCTCTCGTGGACCATGATGGTCTCTTCCAAATTCTGAGCATTGAGCCCATCCTGTACGTCGCTCATCCACAACCAAAGTTGATTTTTCCGTCATATTTCACCACACTAATTTTGGTGTTCTGAAAACCAACTTGTATTGTACTCGCCATTGATTTGTTGCTTTCACCTTCTTCTCCCATTGCAAACTAACTCCAATTTGTAGAGAAAGAACAAATTTGATAGAAATTAGGAACCACCCAACTAAACCCTAGATTGGATTCCAAATAGATTTCCTAACCACACGAGGAAAGCAAAATCTCCAACGGCAACTCCTAATGCTATCTCCACCGAAGCCGAGAACTCCAAGAACTAAGCTTCACACAAGAATCTTCAACTGAACCCTAGATCGGATTCCAAATAGATTTCCTAACCACACGAGGAAAGCAAAATCTCCAACGGCAACTCCTAATGCTATCTCCACCGAAGCCGAGAACTCCAAGAACTAAGCTTCACACAAGAATCTTCCTCCACCAAAAAACCCTAGATCTGAAATCTGGGCTCTGATACCACTTGTTGCGCGTAGCGGAAATTTCGATAGCACTTCGGCAGCACAACAAGAGAGTCAGATCGCAATAAGAATTCTCGTCTCACCAAGGAGACAAGAAGGGGCAAGGAAGGGGGAGATCTACTAATAGAGGGAGAGAATACAACTAGGGTTTACAATCACTCAATCTAAACCCTCAAACAAATTCTCAAATCTCTCACAAATATCTCTCACAAAAGGATGCACAAAAGCTACACTATTTCTTCTTGCCGCAGAGAATCCCCGCAGCCAATGAAGACAACCTCAAAACCTCTGCGCACGCCTTCTTTTGCACGAACTGCAGCCGCAAAAGATTCCAAATCACCTCCTGCTCACCCCATTGCCCTAGGAAACGAATAATATATATAGGCTTCAGAATCGGGTGGGCCTGCATCGCGTGATTGAAACGAGTGCTCACGCGGTTTCTTTTGTGCTGCTTGCAGTACTCACGTGGGAGTGGCCCACTAATCAATCCCACGAGTTCACACCTAGATACAAATTATTCTTTTTGTCAGTTGAAGAAATGGCTGACTGCTCATATTGATACTTCAAGTTAAAGTATCCTCACATTCTAATTCTTGAGTTTGGTCAGTGAAATGGCTGACTGCTCACATTCTAATTCTTAAGTTAAAGTAATATTTTAAATTTCAATTCAAGTGTTTTAACATATGCAAATGCCATCTTACCTTAATATCAAGAATAAATTTCCACTAATTTGCTAATAACTGCTATTTCCTACTGACATACATAATTGAGGTCAAAACATTAATCCACTGCAATTAATTTGATACATACCATTATTCACATACAAACTCCATTAGGTTAAGGCATATGTACATCTGAGCCTCATAAGCAATAACCATATCAGAAACCTAGGCATTTATTTGAAGTTGGTGCTTCTTGAACTATATATATCATGTACTCTCAAGTAGTTCTAAAAAGACAAAATAGTAAGAAAAAATAAAGCTGTAACATTTACAACTTTCTCTAAAACGTATATATCCACTTGTCTACTAACTAATAATAGCTTGGATCTGTTAGTACACTCAAACCAAGTTATCAGATTGCTCATGTTGACAATATTTGCTAATGGCAATTAAGATAGACTGACATACGCTAATAATGACCAGTAAATATAGAAAAAATTAGGTGAACTACTGGGACTGTTGACTGTTCATATCGTATTATAATTAATAAAAATAAAAGAAGAAGAACTAATGTAAAAAGCCTATATATGAAGCATAGGAAAAAGCTAAACTCCCATATGTACATCTAATGATCTGAATTAAAATCTTCATAAACTACCAAAACTCCTGAAAATTAGTACTATAATTTTCAAATCCATATAGCATTGTTAAAAATCTATACAAACACAAGATTATCGAGAATATATAACTTTCAATTAGTTTTGTTAATAATCAATGTTTATTACCTGAAACAATCTAGAAATAGTTAATAATCAATGTTTAATTAGCATTGTTAATGTTTCTTAATATTTAAATAGTTGTCCTCTTTCACCGACTTTACCAGACTTATTGCTTTCTAACCACAAATTTGTTGAAAATGATGCTCACTGTGTGATGGAGAGAGGTAAACCAGGACCATTCCATCTGCTTGATGTCACACTTGCAAAGAATGGAGCTATCAGCGCTGATCAATGCTTAGTTTCAGATGAAAGTATGGATTCTCTTTACGCGACAAAGGATCCTGGAAATACTTGTGCAGTCAAACTCCAGAAATGCATCAGCCAACAGGGTAGGCTAGACATTATTGAAGATAATCCTAAACCCTCCAGTAATCATGGACCTCTAGATGTTGAAGTTGAACAGACTTCAGGGAAGTCTGGTGACAACAAGATGGATGCTGATGCAGAATCATTCTTAGGAAGCCATAAAGCATTTCCTGATACGTGAAACAATCTAATGTTTCAATTAGTTGGCCTAAGTCTTTAATAAATTAATTTTGGTTAACACCTAAAACAATCTGCATCTTCTTGAGATCGAGTTCTGATTCATGGTTTGAAGGACTAATGTATCATACCATATCATTTCCACTAAAATTATAAAGCTAAATTTACATTGTGCAATGAATATTACTGTCTGCAACATGTATGTGTTTTGATTTATTTTTCCACCAAACATTGCAGGTTAACTATCTTAATGTATCATTTAGTTGACAAAGGATTTTGGTGCTCGCTGTTTCATAATCATAATATTGATGCAAATAACAAGTGCAACTCAGAAAGAAAATGCATGCTCAATCATCTGGATCATTTAAAGTGCCTATGTACAGAAATAAATCAGTTGGATTTATTTACTCGTGCATATAGCGGCTACTACAAAATAGAGAGCTCACTACAAAATATAGCAGTTTAATCATAATCAACAGATAACAAAAAAAAAGTCACAAAATGCAAGAATTGTAAGAGAAAAATCATAGAGTTACCTTGATAGGTTTCTAGTCCTCCAATCAATATCGGACACCTAAAAGCAACAATTAACAATCAATCAATCAATACCAAAAATAAAGGTTATCCATCAAACAATCAAACTGAGAATATGAATAAGTAATTTGTAAAGGGCAAAATGGGTATGTAAAAGTTTTGACATGGGTATTCACTTTTATAAGTAGTATAGATTATCTTGGAAAAAAAACCCCTTCTTTGTTCCATCAAAATTGAAGCAGAAGGTATTTATAAAGAGAGGAGAGGGAAGCTGAAGCGAGGAGTCCAAAGGGCTGGGGAAGGGGAGAGATCGGATCGATTTTGGGCGTTATGAAAGAGAGAGGGAAAGGGGGCTGATCGGCTTGGGCGTTATCACAGAGAGATGGATGGGGAGAGAGCGGATCGATTTTGAGCTCAGTAGAAACGTCCGAATCGAAAGCGTCGAGGCCGAGTTGGGCGTTATCGAAGAGAGAGGGAGAGGGGCAGAGGAGAGATCGGATGAGGAGTAAGGAAAGAAAGATAGGCATAATCATTTAATTAACGAAGACTACTGGGATAGTGATAAATTGGGGGTAAATGGAATAAAATATAGGACAAAATTAGAATTAAGTAATTTGTAAAGGGCAAAATGGGTATGTAAAAGTTTTGACATGTGTATTCTCTTTTATAAGTAGTATAGATTATTGTTTTTTTGGGTAATTTCTAACTTTGCCCATTTGATATTTGAAGAGTGTGCCCTTACACTTTTGGGCATATCATATACGTGAAATATCAATCCATGTATACTAACTTCAAATTTTAAACAACACCAAATCACTCTTCATTAGTTCTCAACTCAGAAACACAAGCTAGTATACATAATCCAAACACAAACCGCTACAACATTAATTCGAGAATCCCCACCCTTATGGTAGACAAGAACAGCGTCACAACCATCTAAATAAAAACCAATCACATAATTTGATCAGGAATCACTTATTTTGACAATTAAGCTAAGCCATTTAATTAGTCTTCCTGCAATTCTTCCTAATCTCTCCGCTTTTCCCCGTAAGAGGGCTAATATCTCCCATCTTAATCATCGCCGCAACGAAATCCGAGCTCCAAGTGCTCGGACTCGTACTGTAAGTTGAAACTTGGGAGTTGGTCGAGCCTCCGCTGAAAACTTGTTGGTCCGAATGGAGGAGGCCTTTTTTGCTGACGAGGTTCTTGAAGTAGTTGTTGTCGAAGGCGACGGGAGTCTGGAGGTCCAGGGGGGCGAGGTTGTTGTCCCCGGAGCCGGAGGTGGACGGGCAGTTGGATTGGCGGGTTTTGGCGAAGGTGGCGTCGATGTCGGTGTCGTTGTAGACGTGGGCGCGGAAGTTTGTGCATCTGGCTTGGCCTATGGTGTGTGCACCTTACGTTGAGGGGAAAATATTTGGTAAGAATGTTTGGTCAGTAGAAAAATGAGATACGGAATATACATAAAGTAGAAATTAAGATAAACATGATAATAGAAATGCAAATTTCAAATATGTTCATGCTCGTCCTAGTTCCCTTTCTGTCCTTTTTAATTAATATTTTTACTATAAAAAACTCACATTAGGCAATTTGCACGAGTATTGAAATTAGGGGGAGCGGGAAGAGAGAGAGAGAGAGAGAGAGAGAGAGAGAGAGATTTCTTTTGATCTGAGGGGCATTTTCGTCACTTTCGGGGTTATGTCAGAAAAGCTTTTAGGGCGCGTTTGGAACGATTTTTTTGGGTGTTTTTTGGGTGAAAGCGTCACTTTCGGGGTTATGTCAGAAAAGCTTTTAGCGCACGTTGGGAACGATTTTTTTGGGTGTTTTTTGGGTGAAAGCCTGACAAAGTGTCAGGCTGTCACCCTAAAACACCTTTCACCCTAAAACACCTCTAGAGGAGTTTTAGGGTGAAAGCCTGACACTTTGTCAGGCTTTCACTCAAAAAACCCAAAAAAAATTTGGGTCCAAACGCGCCCTTAGAGTTCAGTGAGAAAAAAACAATGGGGATTCTCGTGGGAGACACCCCAAAGTATTGGGGGTTTTTGTGAAATTTACCCAAATAAGTCAATAAGACACGTGAAAGAGAATCAAGCTAGCCATTGATTAGGCTCCGTGAGATCAAGCTACTATTAGGTTGAGCCATAATATGATAAAAGAAAAGTCTTTAGCTGACCGAAAAAAGGAGACTTCGATTAGTTATTAATGGACCCTCTTTGAAACAGGGGACACTATTGTCAAATCTACTCACGGTTGGGGATTTAATTGGATGCAAACTTAATTTGGGTCTCTCCATTCTAGAACTTGGACCGATATTATGTAAATACTGATTCAACCGGACCCAATAGTGTTTAACGTGATATCATTGGCCAAGGTCTACAAATCTTGAATATTCTTGCAAAGTTAAAACATTAGAAAATTAATAGGAGAGAGAAAAAGTTATAACTAAACATTGCATTGATGTGTTACTTGAAAAAACATAGATTGATATGTGAGGAATATAGGCAAAGGATTGCATACCGACAAGGGCAACCATTTCTTTAGCTGAGAGACCTTGAGCAGAAAACTTAGAGATGAGGTTACTAAGACTAGAAGTTGGAGGAGGAATGTTATTATTAGCTCCACTTTGACTTGCCGTCCTTGAATCCCTTCTCCCCAATTTCACATTCCATGTAGGCCCTCCAAGCTAATAAAAAAAAACATTACAACATATCTACATAAAAATTTAAATAGCCAACATTATTGTTTCTCATTCTTATATATATAGCGTAAAATAACTTACTAAGACAACTGAGTCTCTTGCAGTCACGGCCAATATATCAGCACACGAGACTACGCCAGGACATGCTTGCTCCACTGCAGTCTTGATCTTGTCGATCACATCGAACCCTCTAACTGAACCCTTGTTAGGGTTTGCATTCTTCTCTCCGGTGAAGCTAGAGGTATCATCTAAGAGCAACGAGCCATCACAACCCTAGAAAATATCAAGAATGCATGTAAAATATTTTTCAACATTGACATAATGTGTAATATGTTTTATTACAATATTATGGATTAATTGTAAATAAACCTCATGTTTTATAGAGTGTTAATCATTTTTTAGCTTCAAAGAATTCCATTACCATTTAGACCTCTTGATCAGTGGCGGATCTAGGATTTTTACAAGTGGTGATGGGGGAGATGATTATATCTAAACATTAGAGGTCTTAGCTAGGTGCTAATAAGTGACAATAATGAAATATGAATGAAAAGAATGAGTAATCACTAGCGTACATTAACAAAGCAGTCATGGAAGAAGAGGCGAAGAAGAGAAGCCCCCATCCTCTTCTCACTTGATATAGCGGACTGGACCACTGATTTGATCGTCGGGAATAGTTTAGGGCATGAAGATGAGTAGAAATTGGGAGTGAGTTGGGCTGAGGAGGTCCCTAACAAGATAAAGAACACTAGCGCAATAGGAGCCAAGGACTTGAAGGATGAAGAAGCCATTTTTGCTTAGTAATCTCACTCTTAATTGATAAGTGAAATCAAGGTAAGACCTGGGGAGATACGGAAACTGTTAGGGCGGGTATTTATAGAAAGTGGAGGGTAGATTTGTGGGTCCCTCACTCACCTTCATGCAGAAGATGCATACCTAATACACGGAAATTTTTGCATGGGGATCAAAAGGAAAGCGGAGGCATTCACATTGAAAAAAGTAGCGCCATGCAGTTGACAAAGATGGAGAAGTTAATATATCATGTCTAAAACATAGTGCCCTGTTCGTTCTTACCTACATGTCATATTTCTATTGTCTTCTTTAATTTGGTATAGGATGGTCAAAGAATACTTCGAATAAAGGCAACAAATCTTCAATCTCAAGTACAGAAGAACAACAATTATTTGCTAGAGTCATAGATGAATATTATAACCCCACGTTGAAGGACACATAAATAGGATATGACAAAGTAGAAAGATAGAGTTCATATCTGTTGGATCAGAGATGCGAGCCTCTTTGGTGAAAAGGTTTGTTATAGTTTTTCACTAAAACACAGAATATGCAACAAATATATAAAAAACGAAAGCGAACAACCAAGCCAAAAAGCAACAAAGGAATACACGAGATTTTTGTAGTGGTTTAGATAACAATCCTATGTCCACTATTCCTTCTCACACAGGGGTTTTTGTTGCGCACCCTAAATTGGATTCCAAATAGATCTTCTAACAACAAAGGAAAGCGAGATCCTAACGGCAACTCTGCAACGTTATCTCCACCGAAGCCTAGAACGCTAAGAACCAAGCTTCCACAATGAATCTTTCTTCACCCAATGCCAAAATCCTAGATATTAAATCTGAACTCTGATACAAATTGTTGCACGCCGTGCGGAAGCGTGCTCGATAACCAAACAAGTCGGTAAGCGATGACAGAAGAAAACCAAACCAAATACGAGTACAATTCATAAAAATACGATACAAATTAAACCAAACACAAAGATTTACGTGGTTCGGCAATTGCCTACGTCCACGGGGAGATGATGGAGAGATTTTACTATATGGAGGAGAAATACAACGGTTTACAACTTACAAAATCACTCAAATATAATTCTAACAAAAGCTCTTAACTCCCTCACAATATCTTTCTCTCAAAGTGCTCAAAACAATGCTAATTCTCTCCTTAAGAAACCCTAAGAAACGTGGTTCTATTTATAACAAAACACAATCATAAACAGATTGGGATTCTAAAAACGAGTCTGCCATAACCTGGTGTAGCACACACCACACCCCTAAAAAATAGGACAGACTTTGTCACATCAGGGTGTGGCAGACACCACCAGGGTGTGGTGGAGCCTGTCTTGCCACACCAGGGTATGGTGGAGTCTGTCTTGCTTATTCTTTATTTTTTTCTTAATTCTTTTTCTCAATTCTTTCATCGTTTTCACAATTCTTCACCTCGGTGAAGTTTTTCAAAAACTGAGCCGACACCAAACAAAGAGCACCAATACGTCGTCTCTTCAAACTCGGCTGCACCAATGTGGTTGCCTACGTATCCCCTCTCCCAATGGATCAAGTCACCCGTAGTTCATCCAAATGACCGTTAACGATCTCAACAATCACGAATGTACAATAAGTTTCGACAATGATCAAACTTGTCGCTCGAAACCACCTAAGTGAGCATATCTGCCGAATTATCCTTCGTGTGGATCTTCATAATCTTCACATCGCCATCTTTAAGAACATCTCAAACGAAGTGATAATGAACGTTAATGTGCTTCGTCCTCGCATGAAATACCTGATTTTTGCCAAATAGATAGCACTCATGCTTATCACAATGAATAGTGATGGATCCTCCAAAAGTTCTCGAAGCCAAATAGCCTCTTTCATAGCCTCTGTAATCACCATATGCTCTACTTCCATCGTCGACAAAGCCATTGTAGACTGTAAGGTGCATCTCCAACACACCGGTGCACGGGTCAAAGTGAACACATGTCCCATCGTAGACCGATGCTTATCCAAATCACCAGCATAATCTGAATCAATATAATCAATGCATAACTGCTCATATCTAGTGTCCCGCTTAAAAACTAAACCAACATTAGGAGTACCTCGAATGTACCTTAAAATCCATCTCAGGCGTCCCAATAACCCACTCCTAGATCGTGCATGTATCTCAAAACCATACTCATCGCCTGTGGCAAATCCGGCCTCGTATATACCATCGCGTACATCAAGCTCCCAACCACGCTCGCATATGGAGTCTTCGACATTAACTCTCTATCTTCTACTGTCTTCGATGAAAGATCAGCTGAAAGCTTCAAATGGGCTCCCAAAGGTACACTAACTGGCTTCGTATCCATGCTGACATGAAATCGGTGTAGAGCCTTCTTCAAACAAGTCACCTGTGTCAAACAAATTTTTCCCTTATTTTTGTCTCTGCCGATCTTCATCCCTAAAATACTCTTTGTCTCACCCAAATATTTGATCTCAAACTCCTTTGAAAGCTATGCCTTCAACTCATCTATAGCAGACCTAGAAATAGAGGTAACCAACATATCATCGACATAAAGTAACAAATAGATATACGCACCTCCTTTCAACTTGCGAAAATACACGTAAGGATCAAATTGGCTATGAGTGTACGAATGACTAATCATAAAACTATCAAATCACCTATACTACTATCGAGGAGACTGCTTCAAACCATATAACGATTTCTTTAACCTGCAAACCAACTCATCCTTCCCTGCAGCTCGGAATCCAAATGGTTGAGTCATATATATTTCTTCATCAAGATCACCATGAAAAAATATCATCTTTACATCCAACTGATCTAACTCCAAACCATATGTTTGGGTCAAAAGTTGATTTCTTCATTGCCTTGAATCTATTACAATCGTTTATTGATTACAAGTTCACAAAATAGAAAAGTTGATCTTTTTATAAGATCTCCTTACAAAATAAAAAAATAAAAGATTACAACTTTATCAAATAACACACAGATCCTATTTATTAGTCTCTGTTTACGTGTGATCTTTTCTTGTGCCGGGGTTTATCCATGGACCGCCTCGGATCAGATCCGGTTGACAAAAAATTGATTAAAGCTCTTACTGACCGCCTCGGATCAGATCCGGTTGATAAAAAATTGATTAAAGCTCTTATTTCACAAAGAAAGTAATCGCTGCAGCGATGATCCCGACCAAGTGAGATCACGGCTCTTCTCGATATTTAAGACTAAGCTTAAATCCGGAGGAAAGGGGGAACAGTCCTCAGATCCTTCGAAACGCTCATTCTTTATGTCAGAGTTCGCCAAAATCTGCTAGCCTCTCTCAAATTCATCAGAACCTCACCCTAGCTCCTCTAAAATTCATGGCTCCCTTCAGATATGATTTTATGAGGGTGCTAGGGGTGTATTTATAGGCTTTAGATACCGTGTTTGTGGATAGGATCAAAGAACAATCATTATTATTCGTTTAAGTGGGTTTTCGGTTGTGTAACAACTTTCACATGTTTAAAGATAACCCCACATGTTTATGGATGACCCCAAGGAGTTCTAGAAGCCAATCTTATCAGAAAACACGTCGGGAGCTGACATGGGCGCGAGTCACTTCGACTGTCTCGCTCATGTCCGAGATAGCTTGGATTGTCTCGAGTATGTTAGTCTTAACTCTTTCATCTGACCTCTGATTGAGGTGATTCACGATGTTTTGGAAAGCTAACAAAGAGACCTATAACTTTTATGTTTTAAGATTATTCATATTAGAACCACATCATAGCCAAAATCTTTATTTTCTTTGAGATACAGATTGTGTCTCGCTGGTGTAAAACAGCCTGAATGGTCTTGGGTATTTTGGCTCTAACTCCCTCGTCCGATATTAAAACGAGGTGATCTAAGATGTGTTAGAAAGCTGATGAAGATACCTACAACTTTCATATTTTGAACTTTTTAGATCCAATTTGTATCATGGTCAAAATACCTCTTCTTTTTACGGGCCACTTTAAGGTGTTCGACACTTTCTGACTTCTCCGAACATGTATTGCGCATTTCGTCATTCCGTTGAATTGTACACTCTAATGACTCACTTTGTATATTCATTAGCTTTCACGAGGCCAGATAATCCTTTCCTGACTTGGATGATGACGCTTATCGTCTGCATTTCGCCTCGAGTGGGTACGGGAACTCATAGGCAAATTTTGACGCCTACAGATACCCCCTCCAAAGTATTTCAGACTCATTCTTTTATAAAAAAGTCTAGAATGCTTTGGATAAGACAAGCCCTATCTTTAATCTCTTTAGTATTTCATTTAGGAGATCACATAAAAGGACCTGTGAATTGCTTCAATTCTTAACTTCTTCAGCCTTCAGTCTATTCAGTATTTTGTCGAACAGATGAAGTTCTTCCGACATTGCATTTATCGTCTGACCGTTGTTAAAGTCTTGAACTGAAATTGGTATGTAAGTTTCTGAACTTAGCTCGTGTCATTGAGTTGACTTTGAATTGATCATCTTTATCGGGAATTTATATCTGAACTTTGGAGTTGATCGGAGATCATGCGTTGACCAGCGTTGACTTCCATCGCAACGCGTTGATCAGCATTGACTTTTGTCGCAACGCGTCTACCAGTGTCTATATAGTTTATGCTCTTAAGACGTTGGAGCGTGGTGGTCCCAAGTGTTGGGCTGCAGGACCAACTGTTAAAGCTGTTTCATCTGCATGTATGGATTTTATCCTGAAGTTGTTGGATCCTCAAGTCACGAGACCAACTAATGGAGCTGATGCGTCAATGACTCTCACACTTATAGGATTTTTGGCAAACCCTCAGCCATCAATGGGTTTGATGAGCCTTTACCGACTACCGTTTGAGTCGGGCTAGCATGCAGATTGTCTAAGTCCGTTCCGTATGTAACGTTGTGCTAAAAGAGTTAACTCTCTTAGACTTAGTGCTATGATGTTGAATACATAAACTTTGCCATTGTTACGGGAATAGGCTACCCGGCAACATGTATTGGGTGTAGACTTGAACAAACCTTTGATCTTGAGTTATCCTTAAG